CAGTGATGGGCTTAGGAGTAGCACAAATTGTGAGGTTGGCCCAGGACTGGGAAGTGTTTTGTTCTGTTGTGCATAGGGTCACTATGAGTTGTTACCGACTCGATGGCATCTAACACCACCACCACAGTCTTACACATCTGAGTTCAGTAACCAAGATCCATAATGGTTCACTGTTTATCACTAATGTGTGCAGTCAAATGTCAGCAGTCAGCGGGCCTCTCCTATAGTGGTTGGAGAACAGAGTGAAACAAACTCGACAGCATTTGCAGGAATTGTAATAGGAAAAGGAAGAGCTTATGCGAGAATTTTCTTTCCCAGAATAAGACAACATGAGGAAAACCAAAATATTCATGTGTAAAATGAAATTTCGAATAAGTATAAAGCTAGAGGACTTACATTGCTTGATATAGAAGGCCACAGTAATCAAGACTGTTTGGTGTTGACCAAGGGATGGACATGAATTAAACAGGAGAGCCTAGAAACAGACCTGCACAAATATACCCAACTTATTTTGACAAAGGTGTAAAAGCAATTAGATGGAGGAAGAGACTTTCAACAAGTGGGCATCCAGAGGTCAAAACCAAAAGTGAACCTCAACCTAAATCTCACATGTAATACATAAATTAACTCAGACTGAATCATGAACTTAAATAGAAGATATACAACATTAAAAAAAATAATCTAGGGCAGGTCATGAATTCTTGGACTTTACCCCAACAGCATGAACCACAAAAGAAAAACATTGATATATTAGACTTCAAATTAAAAACTTTTGCTTTGTGAAAAACTTAAGCAGAGGAAAAGACAAGCTACAGATTGAAATTATTTATAAACTATTGATCTGACCACTCTGTAAAACATGAAGAATGCATGAAACGCCAAAGTTGAAAAACATCAGAAAATGGACAAAAGAGATGGGTCATTTCACTGAAGAATATGTATGGCAAGTGAGCACATGAAAAGATGTTGAATATCATTAGCTATCAGGGAAATAAAAATTAAAATCACAATATGATATCACCATTCATCTATCAGAATAGTTAAAGAATAAAAATAGTGATAATAACAAATGCTGTGGAATATGGAAAAACCCAATCTTTCAAATATTGCTGATAGGCATATAAAGTGGTACACCCACTCTGAAAAGGATTTTGGAAATTTTTTTTTATAAGATTAGCTATACACTTACCATGTATATCTAACCTTACAAAAAATAAGAAGCTAATTACTGATCCAGTAAATAGATTCTTCACATTTATTTCAGAGAATCAAAGTCTTTATTAGCACAAATATCTGTACATGTTTGTGTAACAGCTTTATCCACAGTAGCCCCAAACTGGAAACAACCTGGATTCCCTTCAACGAGTGAGTGGTTGAACGGTGTTATATCCATAACATGGACTACTACGTACTCCATGGTGAAAAGGAATGGAATATTGATACGCTCAACAACTTAGATAAATCTTAAGGGAATTATGCTAAGTAAAAAACCCTAAAATTCAAAAGGTTGTATGTTATGACTGCATTTATGTAACCTTCTTAGAATGACAAAATTATAGAAATTAAAGTTAGTGGTTTCCAGAGGCAGGAACTGGAGAGGGCACAGGGTACAGACAATAAAAGGATAATGCAAAGGAATTCTTTTGTAGTTACAGAACCATTTTGTATCTTGACTGTGTGGCTACCCAAATCTATTGTTGTCGTTAGGTGCTGTCCCTCGAGTCCCTTCCGACTTGTAACGACCCTTTGATCCTTTGCACAACAGAATGAAACAGTCTGGTCCTGTGTCATCCTCCCAATTGTTACATTTGAGCCCACTGCAGTTGTCACTGTCAGTCTATCTCGTCGCGGGGGGGGGGGGGGGGTCTTCCCTACTTGGCTCTAAGCACGTCTTTCTTCATCATTGCATGAAACACACATAAACACACACACACACACACACACACAAACGAATAAATGCAAAATCTGGTGGAACTGAGTAAGGTCTGTAGTCAACAGTATTGTACCTGTGTCTTGGTTTTGAAGTTGTTACATACAATTATGTAAGTTCTTCCTATTAGGAAAACTGGGCAAAAAAACTATTTTTTGCAACTTCCTGTAAGTCTATGATTATTGCAAAATAAAAGCTATAAGTATTAATCAGGGGAATAAAAGGAAATTGCAGAGTACATTTCACAGGATTCCATTTTAATATATTTTTAGTTAGAAAAATACTAGAGAAATACCTGACAATTAACAGTGATTATTTCTGAGGGGTGGAATTATGGGGCACCTGATAGCTAACAATGGTTACCTCTTGGTGGCTCTGTAGGATGAACACTGGACTGCAAACCGTAAGGTTGGCAGTTCAAGCCTACCAGCTGCTCTGTGGGAGAAAGATGAGATTTTCTGTTCTCACAAGAGATTTACAGTCTTGGAAACACTAAACAGGGTCACTGAGTCAGAACTGACTCAACAATACTTATCTTAAACACAAATTTTCCATTTAAAAAAAAAAAAACACTTCTTAATAAACCTGTGATCTTCCTGTGTTGAGAAAAATCTATCCAGATGAGCTCTTTGGGATCCTCAAACTCTTTCTAACCTGAACTGAACTGAACTGTTCCAGCAGATCTCCTTGGAAGCCGCCATTTTGATTAGATCTTGCTCTTAGGATTGGTAAAACCAAGACTCATACCTAGTTATGATTTGCTCCATAGAATTGTCTTTATTAGTTCCAACTGGGCTTAAAAGACTAATAGAAAGATCAACTCCTTGAGGTGGCTGATCTTCACCCAGCACTTCTGGCACCCAGAGAGCTTAAAGCTTGCAGAGGCCAAAATGTTTAAAATGGAAAATTCTGGAGCACGTGAGATCACAACTTCAACAGCTACAGCCACTACCAATTTCTGGACTTCAACCAATTTTGTCATTGGTTGAAGTTGACAGTCTTCCCTGTCTTTTAAGTCTTCCTGATCTTCCTTGAAATGTTTGATCCATTTAAAACTTGTTTTATGTTTAAGGCAGCATTTCTGCAAAGCTTCAATGATTGGGAAGATGTCTACTTGAGTGTTGATAAATATTTATTGTTGTTGTAAAGTGCCATCTAGTTGGTTCCGACCCATTGTGACCCTGTATAGACTCTCCTAGGAGCGGATCCTGCAAAAAAATTTTTTTTCACTATGGCACAGAAATTATCTAATTTTCTGATGATACCCTAACAAGATTAAGACAAGTGTTATTACTGAGAAAACTTGTCTGTGACCATCTACTGATTGCAGAGACACATCTAAATACATTTTGTTTGGAATAAACCTGAGCACATATGAACTGGAACCCTAGCAGCAGTATTTTTTTACTTACCCTCACATTTGTGTGTTTGAATGATTTTATGATAAACATGCATTAACAAAATAACCAATATATAGCTGAAAAACTTAATAGATCTTTTCCCACCTAACTCTATGTACATACTTATTCAGGCAAATACAGACAAGGGCATGAAGAACACACAGCAAATGATTAATAGTGGTTAGTTACTTCTGGGGAAGACTGTGGGTTGGGCAGGTTTACAAGTACAGAGGGGAATTTGTTTTGCTCAATGTATTTCTGTATTGTTTGATTCTTACTTACATATGTATTCCAATTTGAGGAAAATCAAAGAGAAAACCCCTAGTGTTCAACACTCCAACCCCTCCACCCACAACTATAGACTCTCCTGGGTGAGAGAAGTTTCTTGAGGTTATAGGCAGTATTGTCCTCATCCCTCCCACCAGGACCCAGCCCAACTCACCCCAGGCGAGACACAAACACTGAAAGAGGAGCCAGAGGGCCTCATTGTAACACTCATTTTTATATAAATATCCACAAGTCATGTTACAGAGTAAGCCCCACCGGGAAAAAAGTCAACAGTTATGTTTTTGTTATATTGACCCCTGCCGCCTGCTGCTTTGAGAAGGCTGGGGCTGGGGCCATGAGGCCGCTAAATAAAGCTGCCTATGCTGCCCAACCCGGGGGCTCACCCCCTTCTTTGGTGTGTGGTACATGGTGACCTTCTCTGGCCCCCCTTAGCCTGGGGCAGGGTTCTGAGAAACAGGATTTTGGGATGTAGGGCCCAGGAGTCCTGGGGGCACTTGGAGATGGGGTGGGGTGGGACTGAGGCATTAAGAGGTGGAGTCTGAGGCTTAGAGGTTGAGCTTTAAGGGTGGAGACACAGAGTTAACAGGAGCACAGAGGAAGGCCTGGGCTGCCAGCAAAGCAGGTGTTACTTGCCCTTCTCTCCTGTGAGAGGTTCCTTTTCCTGTGGGTCCTCCTCCTGCTAGGCCCCACATTCCCAGGGAGAACTCCTAGGCTTCTGCCTGTCCCCTTCCAGCTCTGCCCTGCAGCCCATCTCCCCCCACAGAGAGGCCAGAGGCTGGGAACACAGCACCAGTCTGAGGATTTAATTAATCAGGAAGTAGGGTTGTTGGGAGGGGCACCCCTGTAAAAATGTACAAAAGGTCTGGGGGGCTCTGTGGAAGGGGAGATAAATATGTACATAGAACCCCCCTTCCTTTAGCCCCTCTTCCCTCGGCCCTGTGAGGGCATGAAGACTTGGGTGGGAGGTGAAGGGAAGGAGCACTTTGGCCTCTGGCTTAGTGAGCCCTTGGGGGAGGGAGGCAGGCCAAGGACCTAGAGGCCCTCAGAGGGGGTGATGATGCACCTCAGATCATGAGCTATGACCACTGAAATGACCCCCACTATCTCTCTTTCTCTCTTTCACACGCACACATAAACACCCACACATACACACATACCCCTCTTTTAAGAGGTTTGTGACCTCTGCCCTCCCAGAGACCCCACGGTTCATCTGATGTTTGATGTCATGGTGGTTTGGGCTTCTGCTCCCAGGTCCCATGACCTCAGAGATGGCTGGTGAGGTCATGACCTTTGCCCTCCAGCCCTGGGTGGAAACCTCAGCCATAGGATCATGTCAAAAGGAGAGGGGGGATGGAGCTTTGTCCCTCGCCCCACTCCTTCCCTCACCTGTCAGCCCGGGCAGGGCCAGGGGCCCTAGGTGGGGAGCCTGGTCGGGGGGCGGGCACGAGTGGAGGTGGTGCCCCCAAAAGGGCTCCTGGTGGGGTCTTGCTGAGAAGATGAGGGGTTCCTGGGGCCGCAGCAGGTGGTGGCGGCGGAGCCAAGCGGCTGTATAACAGGGGATGGGGAGGCTCTAGACCATAGAGGCGGGCAGCAGCCACGGCCCCTGGTCCGGTCAGCTCCTCACCTGCCTCATAGAAGCGGGGTGGCCTAGCAAGGCGTGGGGGGCCTGCCAGCCAAGTTGGCTCCAGGAAGCCAGCACAGCGCTCTGGTGGACTAGGGCCCAGAAAGGGAGGTGGCCGGGGCCTCTCAAACAGCAGGTGAAGGCCTTGAGGCCCGGTGGGAGCTGCAGCAGCCTCTTCCTTCCGCTCTTCCTTTACCCGCACGGATTCTTTAGCTGGCCTGGCCCCTTCCTCACCAGCCCGGGCCTTGGGAGTAGCGGGAGAAACTCGGAGCTGGGGCCTTGAAAAGGGGAGGTCCCTGGGAAGCAAATGTGGGGGAGTAAGTGAAAGTTTGGCAGGGAGAGGCTAGGCTGTGGGGTGAAAAGGCAGCCAAAGGAAATGTCTACCTGTCTTTCTCCTCCTTGGTGATCGAGGGCTCCCGCCGCTCCACAGACCGCTCCTTGTCTGAGCCTGGTGTCCGGGCAGCCTCAGGGGGACGGACCCAGGCAGGAAACGCCAGAGGACTGCGGTGCAAGCGGCCCCATGGATCTGGGGGGGAGGCAAAGGCTGGTGGGGCTCCTGGGCTTTCTTTCTGGGCAAAAACAGCGCCGGAGTCTAGGCAGAAGGCAAAGGAAAGAGTGACAGAGGCCAGGAATGGGCAGCCCCACTCAAGCATCCCCATCTGCGCACATGACTCCAGTCCCACTGTTCCCTTCCCCTCACCCCATCCAGCACTCACTGAATGTGGGGCTGCCCAGGCCTCCAAAGGCCCCATTGGAGAGAGCAGCCAAGGAGGCGAAGCTTGTGGGACGCCCAAAGGGATCTGTGGGAGAAAAAGAGATGGTTGGAACACAGGCATTGAGAACTGACAGGGAAGTCACTGGTGAGCCCTCAGCTACCTGGCTATAACCGCCAGGTGTCTAGAACTTCCTCAGACCAGACACTGAACTTGGATATGCACGGTATCATTTAACCTCACGATAAGCCCCATGAGGCAGACAGGACCATTCCCACACCCAGACAAGGAAAAGGCTGACAGAGATGAAGTCACTTGCCAATATAGTCAAGCTCACCAGGATTCCAAGCTCTGGCTTCTGTGACTTGAGGTCAAGTTCTTCTCTCATACTGCCTGCCCAGACCCACCTTAGCAGATGCCAGCTCTTCAGCAAGTCACTCGTCTAATGATCCCTACCTGCCTTCCCTCCTGCCCTGTATCTCAAGCTGAACTCCCAGCCCCTCTATGGGAACTTTTCATTTCTTCTGCCAGGAAAACCTTTCTCCTTTGTTGAGTTTAAATCCTCTTGTTCACTGAAACCAGTGCAATCTTGCCAAGGACCCCCAAGATCTAGTGATGGCACTCTCTCCTGGACCTGCACAACCTCCTTCTACCCTACTCTTACCTGACAGTGGGTCACTAAGAACTGCTGTTTTAGATACAGCATCTGAGTTAACAGCCACTGAAAATCACCCTGGTCTTCTTTAATCCATTTTACAGATGAGGAAACCAAGGTTTAGAGGGGGTCGAGCCACTTGCCCAGGGTCACAAAGACAAGGGGAAGCAGATCTGACTTCCATCCATAGCTTGAGAATTCATGGAAGGCCGGAAAATGGCTCTTACCAATGTGGGTGCTGGGGCTCAGGAAGGGTCCGTGGGCCCCGGGAGCTGCCGTGAAAGGGTTGGCTGCAGCGTGGATGGCACCTGGGACAGAGTGGTGGGAGATTCTGATGAGGCTGAGTGTGCACAGTATGAGCCTTGGGCTTGAGATGAGGAACCTCATGACCCAAGAGGGCTGGCCAGACTCACCAGTCGCAGTGAAGAGGGAGGCCGGGTGGGAGAGCTCCTGCCCAGGGGGCAGTGCCCCATAGGGTCCCGGAAGGCAGGGCAGGAGGTCATTCCGAAAGTCAAGCTTGTGGGAGTCGCCCTGCGTGCAGACATAGGGAGGAGCAGCAAGTGAGGGGCCAGGTACGGGTGGGCTTTTACTGCCCCATCTCTAGTGCCCCTTCAAAGCCTGGCTGGCTAAGGCCATGAAGGGGTGTGATGCGTAGCCTTCTTTGCCCATCCCTCTCAGAAAACAGACCCCCTGTTTGTGTAACTGTTCACATAGTGACAAGTACAGGAGGGAATGTTTGTGGCCAAGATTCTGAAGAGCGCTGTAGGAGATAGATGCTCAGAGCTCAGGCCTCCCCCAACTCTCTGGCCAGCTCTTCCCAGCCCTTGGCTCCCAGTACCTTCATCTTCTCCTGGTGTCTCAGGATCATGTAAGCCACACGCACATGCATGGCACACCACTTCCCTGGTTTCTGCTGCCCCAGAAGGATGACCAAAGGGAAAGGGAAAGGGAAAGAAAGAATGCTCACTCATCACTCAGTCCAGGCCTGGCCCAGGGCTCAGGCTTACCACACCATCCCCATTCGTTATTCCTACAGTTATGGGATGACTAGGTCCATTTTACAGACCAGGAAACTGAGGCTCAGAGAGAGAAGCTGTCTCGCCCAAGGTCCCAAGGCCAGTTATATCTGAACCCAGGTCTGTGACTGCAAAGCCGTTCCATATCTGGCTGCCTCCATGTCTTGGGCTTCTCTCTTTTCCAAGTCAGATGCCTCCCTTCAACCAAACATCCTGACACCATCCCCCAGCTTCATGCAGGTTATGGTCCTTGCCAAACTCACCCTCAAAGGTGGCCGGAAATGGTCGGGGATCTGGAGATGGCAAAGGAGATATTGGAAGAATTCAGACCAGTCTATTGATGTGGGTGCCCATCTCTATAGTACCTAAGCCTCCCCAAACCTTTCCTGCTTGTGTCTCTCTCCGTATTTCCTACTCTGGGTGTTTCCCTTCTAGTACCAGTCTCTAGTCCAGGTTTCTGAACTGGGCCCCAGGGAGTGAGCCCAACAGGAGGGCCAGTGAGAGGGTTGGGGATTAGTGGACAGGCAGGCAGCAGCCTTCTAACCAGAGAAGCCATGCTGTGAACAGTTTTCTATTGTAGTGGGGACCCATTTTAGAATCTTTTAAGAAAAAACTTTTTCCCACTGCTAAAGGAAGATGCAAAGTGTCTGGGCAGGATTCTGCTGAGCAGTATTAAGAGAGATGCTCAAAGCTCATGCTGCCCCCTGACTTGCTGCCCAACTTGCTCTCTCCAGACTTCTGGTCTACCTTTCAGGAAACCTGTCAGTATCTGTCACCCTGCTTCCAGAACCCTGGGGTTTATGGCTGCCACATGTGCTAAGCAGGAGGACAGCCTCTGGCTCCCCATGTGACTTCTTTTATGGATACGGCTTTCTGGTTGGATGTCATTTGAAAACAGGATTCTGTGACCTCAAATATTAAAGAACCAACCCAAAAACCCTACAAGAACCACATTCTTCTTTTGGGTACAACTTCATGAAATTCCTGTTGCTCATGCCTGGGAAATCCTGTGGTTTACAGAAAGAAGTCTACTCTCTCATAAGACACCCAGTGACCGCCCAATCACATTCTGAAAGGTGAGCTCAGGAGTTCACGCTTCTCAAGTGATTCTTGCTCCCCCCAGGAACTGCCCCGGCATCCCCTCACCTGTGTCCCTTTCTGGGGGAGCCCACTCGGCACTGGCCCCAGTCTTGGTGGCAGCTCGGGGTTCGTGTTCTGGCAAAGGGGAGTGGAGGGATCATCAGGAGAGCTCTGATTCCAGGTATGGAAGGGTCTAGAATCATGCTAAAGGGCAGGGGTGATGGTGGTGGGAGGGTTTGCTTTGGTGAAACCCTGGTCCAGAGGGGAGGGCAGGAAGGATGGGGGTCTAGGGGCATCTGGGTTTGCAGGGTATGGGGGTCTAGGGGCATCTGGGTTTGCAGGGTGTGGGAGGTAGTAGTCGTGTCTGGTTTGAGAGCTCACCTTGGGCTGGAAAGCCCCCTGCAGGGATCCAAAGGAGACGGCCGGTGGGAGACCCGGAGGTAAGCCGGGCACAGTGGGAGGAAAGGCCGTGTAGGGCTGTGGAGAGAAGGGGACTAGTCCAAGCTGGTGTAGAGGTGCAGCGCATCAGTCTGCCTTTTAGTCCTCTGGCCTCCACCCTAACACCCCCTGGGGGCTCGCCCATGATAGAGGATCTTGCTTTTCCAACTGAAGTCTGGAACCCAATGACCAGGGCCACAAACATTCAGACATTCATGCCCACACACCACACATACTCACATTATGCCGGAAAAGGCCTTCCATCTTTCCTGGGTATTTCTCAAACTAGGGAAGAAAAGGGAAGAGTAAGTTGCCAACTAGGAACCCAGGCTTTCCCCTGGAAATCGTTCCCTCCTCAGGTCTCTGAGCTCACCATGTGGGTGCCGTGGGGCGGCAGCAGGCCCGGGGGATAAGGGGTGAAGTGCTGGTGGGTGTGCTGGTGGGTGTGCTGGTGCTGGTGGTTGTGCTGGTGGAACTGGAAGGCCAGAGGCCGTGTGGAGCCTCCTGCCCCCACCACCTCAGGGCCACCCTGGGCATTCAGGTAGCGAGAGTTCAGGTCCTGGCCGATCAGGTCCTGCTCTGTGAGAGGGGAGGGGGAGAAGTCTTTAATGTCTGTCATCACCATGACAGCCTCCTTGGGCCCAGGTGAGCTGGCCTTCCCTTCTGGCCTCTCGCTGCTCCCTCCTCAAGCCCTACGATGTATCTAAGGTCTAGCTGCCCCAAAGTCAACAGGGCCCTGAGCCCAGGGCCATGGCCCACACCCCCCCAGCCCCAGCCAAGACCCCAAACTCACCAGAGAGGGCGTTAGCCGCTGAGGCCCCAGGGTGCCCTGGCACCTGCAGCAGGGGTGGGGGTGGGGGTAGGGTGGGGCCAGGGGAGAACAAGGAGGGGTGGTGGGGTGGTGGTGGTGGGCGCAGTCCAGAGGGGGGGAAGCTGTGACTGGACAAAGGCAGGGGCAGTGAGGGCGTCGGGGGTCGGTGGGTGAGCTGCGCGGACGAGGAGGAGGCAGATGAGGAGGAAGAGGACGAAGAGGATGATGAGGGGGGAGGCTGAGCCACGGGAGGGGCCGGGGCCTTGGGGGGCGGCCGTGAAGAGCTGGGGAGAAAAGTGGGGAGATGAGTGAGGGGTTGGGAGGTGCCAGTTCTGACGGGGAGGGGTCAGAAGCCTGGGCCATATCCTGACCTAGCCCCCAGCATGGGAGGTGGTAGAACGTGACCCACCCCCAGAACTCCTATCCCCACCCAGAGGACCCATCCTCTGACTGGGGTGCCTCCTGAACCCAACAACCCCCTCCTTCCTTTTCTAGGTCTCTTTCCACAAAGCTGCCTCTGACAACTCCAGTCACATGACTTGCCCTTTTCTGACTCAACCACAGTACAAAACATGTCATTCATTTTGACGCTTAATACAATAGGCCACTTGGGTTCCTACCCTAAGAAAGTGGAAGCAACACCATGCTGACCTGGCCTGGGAGTCAGGAGATCTAGGCCCATCTTGCCATTAACACCCTGGGTGACCTTGAGCAAGTCACTGACCCTCTCTGAGCCTTAGTTTCCCCTCAAATAGTAAGAAAAATAAAAATTACAATAACAATCACGACAGCATCAATAGTATCAGGAACTCTTACCCTTGAGTAAGCATTGACTATAAGCCAAGTTCCGTCACTTGCTTTACTTACTAATGCAGGCCTCCAACACGTCACACCACCTTCCCTATTTGACACTTAATTCTAATAGGCCACCTGGATTCCTACTCTAAAAGAGGGGAAGCAACACCATACTGACTTGGGCCCAGCCCTGTATGTATGCACCCACACACCATTTACTTTTCTTTAATTTTTTTGTTGGTGGAAGTGTTGTTTTAAAATCCTTTCTGTTTAAGCTCACCCTGAGAAATAACAGGTGGAGGCAGGAATGATAGCACTCTTATTTTTCTGAAGCACGTAAAAGGGTATAGAACACACGACTATGGGAGTATGCTTGTTGTTAAGCCGTGAAATCACATCATGTACCAGTGGTGGGAAGTGTGTGCACACTTTGGGAAACACTGCTTCAACTCAAAGTTAACGCTCACAATGATGTAAGGAGAGAGGTGCTACTATTATCCCATTTTACAGAAAGAGGAAAACTGAGGCTCAGCAGGAGTAAGGGACTTGGTAAAAATCACACAGCTAGTAAGTGGCAGAGTAAGAATTTGACTCTAGGTCTGTCAGACACCAAACCCAGCAAGTACTCTTCAGCATTTGTCAGTGTTTCCCAAAGTACGTTACCAAGAACCTTATTCCTAGCAAGATGCGCCTTGAAAAAAGGTTCCACCAGCAAATAAAATTGGGAAACACACAACCTAGATTGCCCTGCACATGGCAAGTCCTGCGGTATTCTCTTTAAATGGGTATAACTCAGGGTCTCTCAACCAACTTTTAAAAATTCAAAATCTTTTTCAATCACATCCTGTAACTCCCATCTCATGTCCCAGCCCCTGAAAGTAGGGGTTGGCACCAAAATGATTAGGCTCTTCCAGACCATACCAGACCAGACCTGATCCCTTGACCACTCACCTGCCAGTGCTGAGGTCCAGGCTGCTGCCATAGGGAGAAGTGCGGAGGCCAAAGGGCGAGACCCGAAGCTGCAGCTGGGGCTGGGGTGGGGGTGGCAGACTGGGGGTGGCTGGCAGGGATGCAGGGGGTGAGGCAGGAGGCCGAGGGACTGGTGGAGGCGGTGGTTCCTTAGAGGGGAAAGGCACTAGCAGCGGGTCGGGCCCCGGGGGCTGTTCCTGGCTCCGCTCCAGGCCCGACACTTTAGGGACCACAGAGAATTTTGCTTCACAGTTCCCATTGAAGGCGCCATGGGGGCCCGAGGCTATGAGGGTGGGAAGACAGACATGCTCAGTTGAGACCCAGGCTCACCCAACTTTCTCCCTTGTCTCTAGCCCTGGCCCCTGGGACCAACCTTTGCTGGTTGAGACTGTAAAGGAAGGGTCGAGGTCATCATCGGAAACCTAAGGAAGAAGGGCAGACTCCTGTCAAGCCAGGTCTCCGCTCAGGAGACCGTGGCAAGCTTGTCACAACAGCTTGGCTAAAGTCTACCAAAGTCTATGGGCTCCAAAGAGTCTATGATAGGGGGAAAGAGGCAGACCAGGCCAAGAATCTGGCTCTCCGGGAAGACTGAACTGAGGCACCACAGAACCAGGCACGCTAAAGCAGGGGTATCAGCTCTCACTAACTGCTAGCCTAGAGATCTATCTGGCCTACAAGTGTTAACAAACAGTTCGTAACTGACAGTTATTTAGAAATTGGGATTCCTTATAAAAACTCCGACTCACGCCTGTCTTGAGAATGAACCCTATTTTTGCATGGCAACAATTAGCTGGAACTGGATAGCAGCCTCCCCCTTTAGATGGGCAAGTACTCTCTGGTTCACCATAGTCCCTTGCCTAGCTTACTTTTAAAATCTAAAACAAGACACAGAGAACAAATTTAGCTACTTACAAGGACCAAGTGGGTAAAGGAGCAACAGCTATGACACGTTCTCTCAAAACAAACAAAACAGCCCTAGTAATAAACTGAAATACACCTTTTATGGGCTAAGTTCTTACAAAGACTACAAAGGCTTAGTGTCCTCATGCCACAGTCTGCTCAGTCCCTAAACCTACTGTCCTCTCTAGGAGAGCAGACTTATGGGAAACAGAAAGGGCCAGTTCAGTGCCACAGGCATTCTGGGGTTCCATGGAGAACTGCTGGGAGCAGAAGAGCTTTGGAATGGATGGCACACCCAGACACAGACCCAGTTCGCTGTAGACACACCAAAACAAGGTCACTTGTCCTCCCTGACCCCTTCCCTTCTTTCCAAACAACCTCATCCTGGCTGAATTACCCTTATCTCCCACTCCTGAGAAGGCTCTATCTATGACACCTAGAAGACCATTTAAACTGCAGCCCACTTTACAAATCATGATACTGCACACCGGAAGGTTCCAGCCCCACTCACCCTCTCGTCGAGATCGCTTTCTGCGTCACACTAGAGAGAAGGAAAGACAGAGGTATCACAAAAGGAAAGAGTAGGGCCCATGATGAGAGGGGACTTTCAGAGAGGGAGTGAGAGGGGAGGGGCCAGCACCGGCAGATAGCACTTACAATGTATCCAGCTTCCAGAGAGTGACAGGAGGAGGCCTGAGAAAGACCAGAGTCCAGAGGTGAGGGAGGCTGACTGGCTAGGCCTTTGGATAAAGTCCAATCTCTCTAGCAAGGCACTCAAGGCCCCTCACAATGTACTCTCAGTTGCTTCTAGCTCCTACTTATTACATACTCCCATACTCCAGAGGCTCTGACCATTTTCCAAGTATACCAAGTTCTCTCTCATATCTCTGTACTTTTGTCTAAAAACAACTGTGGCCCCTTTATCCTCTTAGCAAACCCTTTACTATCCTTCAAGGCGTGACTAAAGGCATCCTAGGGGACTTTCCCTAATCACAACCCCTCTCCCATTTTCCAGGCAGTGAAGTGGCTTCCTCTGTGGGTTTCTGTAGCAGTTCTCACAGAGCTCTGCCTTCTGCAGTTTCTCAGGTTCTACTCTTAAGTGTCTGTTGACTATCTCTTTCCTGCTAGATTGTCACCAGCACCTTGAGGGGAAGGCAGGGAACACAGCTAATTCACTTAGATGTACAGTGATTCAACTACACTAAGTCCCTTTAATGCATCCCTGGATTAGCAACACATTTAAGGTAGGTTTCCTACCACCACCCACAGCCACTGAGCCCATTATTATTACTCAGAGCCTTTTTGTTGGTAAAAAGCAGGGGAGTCTGAGGGTAGATCTGTAGGATGATGAGGCCTCCCACTTGCTCTGCCTTCCTGAAGCTAAGTCCCTCAGACACCATAGTCACTGTTCCCAACGGACAGTGGGGATGGAAACAGGGTCTATGTGGAGGACAGCCTACCTTGAGTCTTAAGGAGTGGAAATCTGGGGCAAGCTCACCTCTTTCCTTCTCCGCTTATTGGGCCATTTTCGGGCCCGATCCCCAGGGGGCCGGCCAGGCTCCCGATCAGAGCTGTCCCCAGGCTCCCCAGTGGCCCCACTGGAGCCCCCCCTCTTCCGCTTCCCAGAATGCTTCAGCCGGTGTTCCAGTCGCTCTGGGGGCTGAAGCGATGCATCCTTCTGTGGGGGAGGAGGTGGGACTGAGGTGGGTGAAGAAAATAAAACTCCCAACTTCTCTGGAGGTGACTCTCAGCCCCGGCAACCTGGTTAGTCCCTGGAGACTCGCTCTACCTCCTCCCACCCAGGGTGGGGCAGAAAGCTTGCCAGAGAAGCCGGTTGCTCTGGTTTGGGGTGCCAGCATTCCCCCCTCAACTCCACCCACTCTAGGCACCCTCACCTTCTCGCTGCCCCCTCCAGAGCCCCCACTCCCGACAGGCCCACCTGCAAGGCCTCAAGGCTGGCGAAGCTAGCAATAGCGAAGCCATCGATTAAGTCCTCCTCCTCCTCCTCTTCCTCTTCTTCGGGCTCTTCCTCGGCCTCCCCGTCGTCTGGTCCCCCCTCCTCCTCCTCTTCCTCCCCGCGGCTACCCGATCCAGCAGGCCGCTTCCGAGCTCGGGGTCGTGGGGGCCGAGGCCTGGGTCGGGGCCGCCGCCGTCTCGGGCCCCCAGGCCGCTCTCCAGCCGAAGCTGACGACCAAGGCCTGGCAGGAGGTGGCGGCGACGACGAAGACGAAGAGCCGCGCGGGGCGGCCAGCACGGACCGGGGTGCGTCGCCGCCGGGCCCTCTGCGGCGCCGCTGCTCCCGGTCTCGGTCTCGGCGCGAGCAGCGCCGCCGCCGCCGCTCCCCCTCAGCGGCCCAGCCCGGGCCCGGAGCCGCGGCCGCTGCCGTCTCCATGACGACCGCCCTCAGCGCCGCATCCGGAGGCGGCGGGGCCCGGAACGGCCTGTCCGTAGGCCCGGGGTCGCAGACGCGGCGCTGACGGCTGCACAGGGACGAGAGGGCCACGGTTTCCCCTTTAAAAAAGCAGGAGCTGCCGGCCCCGAGCTTGCCCCAAGGCCAAGGCCCGGAGAACCGGCGCCGCCCCCGGGCCGACAAGCCCGAGGGGCCCCCCCCCCGTGGGGCCGGCGGGGCCGCGACGGCTCTAACGGGGCGGTAGTCCCTTTAAGGCGAGGTCTCAAATAGTCCAGCCCCTGGCCCCTTTAAGACGACCCGATGGTGTCTGGCCGGCCTAGTTCGGTGGCCGCCCCCTGCCAGGGGTCGAGGCAAGTCTCCCCGAGGAAGAGGAAGGGCCACCCCTTTAAAAGGGGCCGAATGCTCAGCTCGAAACGCAGACCTCCCCTTTAAAAGTCTCAAGTCCTCCGGCTAAAGAGTCCACCCCTTTAAGGAGTCCAGGTCCGCCTAACAGCAGGCCGTTCCTTTAAGGACTCAGGAGTTAGTTCTCAGTCATTCACAAGCGACTACGTCCCCTTTAACCTGAGTTTAAAGGACTTTTTGCATGGGAAGAAAGAGGAGGTTAGAAACACCACTCGCCCCAATTCTCCCAACAACACAATTCTCAATGTATCAGCTTCTGCTCAGCGGCTTCCCCTTTAAGGCTCGCGTTGGTGTCTGCCGAGTCCAGCGGCCACCCCTTTAAGGAGATTTAAAGGGGCCTCCTCTGGGCCCAGCTCCTCCAGCCTCCGCCTACAGTCGCCATGAAAGGCGCGAGGGGGGGGCGGGGCCGCGGGGGCCAGCCCTCCAAAGCCCCGGATATGAGGCAACGGTGACGGGTAAAGCTTCGACGTCTGCCGACATAAAAGTCTTTTCCTTTCTTCCGTCTCTGTCTGACTTGTGTGTTAAAGGATCCAGAAAGGCAGTTAGGCAGCGGGGGAGCTCCAGCGCACCCTCCTGTTGTCTCCTTTAGAGTCTTGGGCCTCTTCTCCACCAGGACTTTCCAGCCCCTCCTCCCGCTTCCTCGTCAGCCTACGCCTCCTTCCTCTCTCTGTCTCCTCCCACTCTGCCCCGCCTCTTTCTGCCACCCACCCACCCACAGGCTTAGTCGTTGATAGGCTGACGAGTTTACGTCGAAACGAAGGGCTGAGTTAAGATCGGGGAAGTGGGCAATATGTAACCACCCTCAAATCTTTGATTGGGTAGACATCAGATTGGCTCCGCCCTTCAAGTCTTGTGACTCAACTGGTTAGAAGTAAGTGCTTGGGGCGGTCCCCCAGAGGACCGCCTCTTCCTACTCGTCGCTGATTGGTCAACCTTTTGCCAGCGTCGAGGCGGGAGGGGTTGGGATATAGTGCGCGAGTCTTCAGTAGCAGTTGGCCGCTTGGCGGCGCGCGGTCGCGGAAGGTTCCGTTCGACGACTGGTGAAGTCATCTCTTCCTTTCAGCCTCTTGGTTTAGTCCACCGGACGCCTAGCGTCTCGCGCACGCGCGTGGCGATAGCCTCGCTCTGTTGGCAGCTCAGCGGGATCGCTCCGCGACGCTGTAGGGCTTGAGTGCCGCCGCGTGCTTTGTGCAAGCTAGATTCTCTGGAAGAAAGCCGCGGTCAGTTGTTGCTCGGCTCCATGGGAGGGTGTCAGCTTTGGGGTCTTCACGCTCCATCAACTGAGAAACACTTAGCACTTACGTACCAGGCACCTTTTTATGTGTAACTCATTTTGAATTATGCTGTTAAGTGCCGTGGAGTCAGTTCCGACTCTTGGTTTGTATAAAACCTTTCACTTTACAGTGTTTCTTAGACTTTTTAAATCTTTTCTGGGGCAGAAAACCTCATCTTTGTCCCGCGGAACGGCTGGCGGACTCGAATCGCAAGTTCAGTGCTTATCGTATGGAGCCTTCTGTTTAAGTAGATAATTGCTATTAGCTCCATTTTAGAGAAGAGGTAACTGACAGACCGCCTCCCAGCAAGGGTTTGCCCTCAAGAAGCTAGCTCGAGAGTGTGATGTATTCTGTATCATAAGTTTTAAAAGACGCAAAGTCCTCGCTTAATTGCCAGGATTGCCATTTTAATATGAATGTATTGACTCTCACTTTGCTTTCTCATCTATAAAATGACTTATGTCCTTTCACAGGGCTATATGCAAGACAAGTACTGTTAAGTTTCATGACTCATAGTGACTTTGTATAGGGTCTCCGAGGAGCAGGTGGTGGGTCTGAACTGCAGATCATGAGGTATCACACAGCACCACACCAGGTCTACAAGTCAAGTATATTTGTAGCAGATTAGTTACTGAATCTAGCTGCAGTTCTTGGAATATATCAGGAGGAATCCATTGTCTTGATCAAAGTCTTGGTCCACTCTGGACCTTTCATTCTCCTTGATGTATATCATCTAGAGCCAGTTCAGAAGGGTTCCTCCATCCAGGAGAATCTCCAGTTACCATTTCCCCAGCCCTTTTCTGTACCTAGCTGTTAGCTGGCACTGCCCCCATTTCTCAGCCCTTTGGGTACCAAAGTGGAAACATCAGGGCCAATCACACAAACTGAAGTCAGACATACAAAGGAAATCAGAAGCATATCGAAAACTTTACTAGAAATATAGAGAAAAAAACCAAAATCAAGGTAACTGTCTCAGGCAGCTTCCCCTACTCCAGGGTGGATGCATGGACAAATAGATGTTCCCCCTCCATTCCCTCCTCATTCTCTTCCAGAAGCAGAGCATCCAGCTCCTCCAGCCGCTGCTGCAATAGAGGTCCCACGTCTGGGTTAGGGGCCAGGCTGGGAGTAAGGGTCCTGCTAGCTGCAGCACGGACTCCTCGGTAGGGTCGCCGGGAGTGAGGGAGGCTGCTATCCCGAAACACTACAGCCCGCCGGAGCTTCCTTGAGCTGGTGAAGATCAGAGTTCCATTGCGTTCCCGAGGTTCCTCGAAGATGGTCTCAAAGGTCCTGGGCCAGGTAGAGAGGGGTGCTGGTCACCAGAATACTTGATGATTCCAGCCTTCCTTCTACCACCCCTAAGCCCTCACAGTTTCTCACCTCCTGGTTGTGGGCGATTGGTAATTCTTGTTGGTGTAAATTTCTTCCAGGCTGAATTCCTTCTTGTTTAACCTGGTGGCAAAGGGTAGAGGCCACTGAGAAACCTGGAGCTAGCTGTGTCTACAGCCATCATAATTGCCCAGAAGGAATGGGCAAGGCCGATATATAGGAGGGGGCTTCGTGGGAAAATTACATGATCTTTTCATTCTATTTTTCTACCAACTTTTTCAAGCCCCCTCATATTTAAGTTTCTCAGACATGTCAGAGCCAGGAGTACTACTGAGGACAGACAGGTAGTTCCAGGCTCAAACCATGTTCTTCCCAATCGAATATTCCAGGCTGGACTGGGATCCCTGACAAGACTGCCCTGCAGGGATGCAAGCCCATACATGTTTGACTAAGGCATCAGCATGGGCAATGAGCCTCTCACCTGACTGGTCGAGGCAGCCCCATTGGCGTAAGGTTGAGTTGAGGCCGGGCAGGTGTCTTGCGTATTCTAAATCGAGAAACCTTCCCCACGGCCTGCAGAAATCGGGCCGAGGTTGAGAATGTGACATGGGCTCAGGCCACCACCTCTCCCTTGCCTGTACTCCTACCTTGCTTTCAAGGTCGGGAAGAACGTGGTCCTCTGGGGCCCTTGGCTCCTTCCTTTGAGGTGAGTTCAACCTGCCGGGAAGATCAAGGTTCACCCAACATTCACAGTAACAGACCCATTTTCTGCCCACTGAGTACTAGGAAAGGAAGCTAGGCCACGGCCAGGGTCAGGGCTTGAAGGAAGGTTTACTGAGAGCATTACCTGGAGTCCACAGGCTCGGAGAAGGAAGAAGTGGATGTGGTGGATGAGCAAGATGTGGTAAGAGGAGGAGACGTTCCCACTCCTCCGAGAGGAAACACCTCTTTCCGAAGACAGGGCCGAGGGGGTGGTGAGGTTTGGGCCATCTCTCCACCTCCTACAGTGTGCCGCCGGGGCCGAGGTCGACTTATATGGGGTGGGGCAGGGAGCCAGGTGCAGGCACTTGGGCCAGGGGGCCCTAGATCAGGGCAGGAGTGGCTTCGGCCCAGAGAAGGCTTAGGGAGCAATGGTGGGGGATTGTGGTCCTGGGTTCGCCATTGTCGGATAGGGGGTCGGGGACTGACAGATGCAACACCCTCAGGCTCCCCAGACTGCTCAGCCTCTGAGATGGCAATCTTCAACTCTAGCTTCATGGGAGGTGCTGGGGGTGGGGGCCGTGGGGTTTTGTTAGGTGTGAGGAAGATGTCAGCAAAGCTCTCAAGCTTGGAGCGGACGGAGCGGAAGAGGGGGGCCAGGCCCCAAGGACTGAGGCGGGGACGTAAAAGGCTGGATGTCGGTGGGGTTGATGAGGACTCCAGGTCAGGATCTGGGATTGAGAAAAGGAGTCCCAGGTGGGCGTTCTGTAGTTAGAGATGATCTAAGTGCCACCTAGAAACCTCAGCACCTTCCCCCCACCCCTACTACGTCCACTCCTGAAAACCAAGCTCCATGTTTAGGAGTTGAACCTCAGGCCCCTGAAATCAAAACCCATCTCCATAGAGCAATCTTTGTTCTTGTTGTGAGCGGCCATGGCGTCAGCTCCTGACTCATGGCAACCCTATACACAATAGAATGAAATGCTACCCCATCCTGTACCATCCCCATGGTGTGGTCAGATGCACATTGGACTGTTGTCATCCAAAGGGTTTTCACTGGCTAATTTTCAGTGTAGTCCACCTCTCTTCCTAGTCCACCTTAGTTTAATAGCTCCACTAAAACTTGGTCAGCAACATAGCAACACGTATCTCCACTGACAAGTTGTGTCTGTACAGGTCTCTAAGCACCACCTCTACCTCTGTACCTGACACTTCCAAGCTCTACTAGGACTTCCCAGAGTGGCAAGTGTCGTCCCTCTGCCTAAGTCCTTACCTGGTGCTGGACTCTCTGAATGGCCTACAGGCTGGGCAGATGACTGGAATGGGGGTTCCAGGTCCCTAGGTGGAGGCAATGGCTGGTGAGCCACTGTCATGGGCTCAGCTCTGGAGGGAAGAGGCCAAGATAAGGCTGGGGGAGCTTCCAGGCCTAGATCTCTTCTGAGCCAGAACCTCCCATGTCCCTTAAGGTTTCTGAGAGCACTACAGGGAAATACTGGACGAGTAAATCCTGATGCTTCTAGCTCTGGTTGTCCGAGATAATGCTTGAATACTTTGACAATCCCTTCCCTAACCCTCTTACCTTCGTGCTGGGATGGTGAAGTTGGAGGTCTCATTGACAAAACCCTGGATATAAACAGGGGATGTTTGTGGGGACATAGGAAAGCTCCTTCTGACCTCCCCTCTTGACTGCCTCTTTAGCTTCCCCATTCCCCCACTTCTCTCTCTTGTCTTCAGATGCCTCCTGGGTTCACACCAAAGACCATTTCACTGAAGGCTTTGTTCAGTGTCTCCCATCTAAGATGTTGTGCTAATGCCCTGAGTAAATTCCATCCCAGACTCAAATCTGTCTTCTCTTCTGGAATGCCTGCCCCTAGCTGAACCTCTGACTTGCTTACTCGAAGTTCTGGGACCTCTGCCGGGGGTCTGGAGCCAGCAATGTCTTCCAGCATCACCACCAGGGTAGGCTGGGGGGCCCGGTCCACCTTTTGTGAAGAGGTCTCCTCTGGACCAGGGTTTATCCTTGGTCGTCGTCGCAGAGTTGAAGGGGGTCGGTGGATGCGGCTCAAGGGCTCTCGGCACAAGTGCAGAGAGCTGGAAGATCTAAAGGGGGAACAGTAAGATCAGATAGGCTCAGCTGTGCCCCAGCTTACCCTGCATCCTGCATGCTCACCTGGCCTGTGGGGACCGTACGGACTGTAGAGATGATGGGGCAGGTGGTTGGCTGTGGATGGAATCCCAATAGTTGCTGTGGTGCCGAGGGGTGGAGGACTCCTGCTGGGGCGCCAGAGGGACCTACAAGAAGAGGAGGTGTCAAGAGCAAGGTGATGGAATAAAATTGGCCTGGGCAGGATTCCCCTGTGCCTAATAGTGCCCTCAGTCACAAAGGTGACCAATGCTGTGGCTAGAATATATTCAGGATCTCCAAAGGAAAAATGACTCAGACTGAGTTAGGGACCAGACATTAGTGTCCTGAGCTAACAGGTATGTCACCTGGGTAGTCTCACCTAGGCTGTTTGAAGAATTAAAAAGTGACCTTGTGTGGGTGGGTCACTGCCTAGTTTGTTCCCAGTTGTCCCCATCTGTGCAGTGGTGTCAGTGACCTTAGCCTATTTGCCAAAGGGTTAGCGGATCAGCTGAGAAGAAAGTGGGAAAGTTTCTCAGTTTCAAGTCAGAGGAGTGTGGTTCAAGCCGAGAGGGTTGGTGGTGGGAATGTTGTTGTTAAAGTGCCATCGAGTTGGTACCAACTCATAGCAACCCTGCATAGGGTTCTGAGGAACAGCTGGTGAGCTTGAACCGCTGACCTTGTGGTTTTTCAAAGCGACCTTGCAGTCCAGCGAGCGCATTAACCGATAGTGCCACACCAGGACTTCCTAGTGAGAATGGAGGTGGGAATAGGCCCTGCCAATCTTGCCCACTTCTAGGTTGGAGCAAATGGGAGCCAAACAGGATTCTAGCATTAGGCTGCCTGTGTGATGGGGACGGAATGGTGTGTTTGGACCTGTATCATCCTCACTAAGGGTCTCACAGGACTTTGGTACTTAGCAGAGAGTTTGTGTGTGTGGCAGGGTGCCTCTTAGTTCAGGGGGCTCACCATGCGGGCAGCCATGACATCTTCCAGCACCACGGCCAGGACCCTTCGAGAAGCCTTTTCCAGGGACGAAGGAGCCCCCAGGGGCTGCAGCCTCGGCCGTTTTGGGCTCCCGGCTGCCCATAGTGCTCGGGCCAGTGGCTGGCGGCAAAGACGCGGCGAGCCAGATGAGCTGGAGAGTGAGAAGAAGAGGGCAGCTGCTTGAGCCTGTCGCAGGCTCTGTGGTTTCCCGGTACTGCCGCCAGGCTCCCCGTCTCCCGGGATCAAGACAGGCGGGCGGGGTGCGCTCTCACCTGGAGTCCCCGGGCAAGTCCATGGGGGAAGCGGCGGTTCCGGGGGGTCCCTGAGGGATCCCAGGCTGCAGCCTGGGATGGGGGGGAGCAGGGGAGCGGGGAGTAAGGGCCAGCCCCTCCCCCGGGGCTCCGCCCTTCATGGTCTGCCCGCAGCGCCCAGTAGCTCACGGGGCCGGAGCTCTAGAGCTTGGAAGGGCGCCCCCCGCTGGCCGCCTGGAGCGGGTGTCTTCCCGCTGCCGCCGCAGCGATCACCGTATCACTGGCACCCAGCCTGGCACCTGCCGCGAGAACCTGGATGGCGGTGGCCACAGTTTTCCCCACGGCCTGAGCCTCCCGGGGCCTTTGTCCCTGCAGATTCGGCCCGAAATCCCCCGGGATCCACTGGGATCCCGGTCCTGGGAGGCGCCGCTTCCGCCGGATCCCTCTGCGATCCTCCTCCACTCCCAGTGAGTAGTCAAGGCCTCTGAAGTAATATTCTCACACACCCATGGTTCCCTCCTCCCCAGATCCCCCAGACAGGATCCCCGTAGAAAGAATCCTACAACGCGGTTCCTCCAATCAGACGCCGCGCGTGGATCCTCCTGCCCCTGTGAGCTCTGGCTCCGCGAAGCTCCACTCAGACAAGGGAGGCCCGAGCTTGAGCATCGTGGATCTCGATCTGGATCCCTGGAGATCCACTGTCAAGCAGATACCCCTTCACTCCATTCCGGGAGGTACCGCCCACAGGCCCCCCACTCCACCCTCCCGGGTCCCCGCCCCGCGCTTCCCCCACTACAGGAACAGATGGTTCAAATGTTCCTCCCCCCGCGCTACTCCCGCCCTCCCTCCAACAGCTCCGTGCCCTCCCCTGCGCGCCGCTCACCGCTGCCTCCGGCAGATCCCGGGTCTTCGACGGCTCCCACCTCCGGCTCCTTTAAAACCAGCCTTACCTAACCCTACCCAACCGCTGAGGGCCTTCTTCTGGGAGCCTCCGGGCACCGCCCAATCGCCTGTCCCCGTCTTCCGGGGTGGTGAGAAACCTATTGAAGCCGCCTCTGAAGCCATCATCCCTAGGGGCAAGAAGCCAATTTGGGCAGAGTAGCCATCATAGTTGAGGGCAGATATCGTAGTCCTTGATTAACTGAAGTGGACGGATGTCGTCATCTTTTGAAAGCCACTCAGTGGCCGAAGCCTCTTCCAGGTTTCTCGAGCTATTCAAGGAAACTGGTGAAGCTATAGTGCCGCCACGTTTTTTAAGGGCATCTTCCGGTTATCTCACGTTAGTCCAATAAAGTGAATGCAGTACTAACGATATGCGAAATTTCCAGCTTCCTAGAGAGGCGGGTTCCCGTACTTTCTGGGTTCTCCAGCCGCTTTCGGTCTCACAGACTCAAAAGGGGATTCCCACATCCCTGGGTGAGAGTTTGGGAAGGAGCGGTTTCCGGCCCCACTGCTCAAACGCTGTGCTGGAGAGACCGTGGTGAGCTATAGTTGGGGAGGAGGCTTGTTGTTAGGTGCAATCGAGTCGGTACCGACTCATTGCGACTCTTATGAACAACAGAAGGAAACACTGCCCTGTCCTGGGCCAACCTCACAATCGTTGCTCCACCTGAGTCCAACGCTGTCGCCACTGTGCTAATCTATCCCGTTGGGGGTCTTCCTCTTTTTCTCCGACCCTCCACTTTATCAAACATGATACCCTTCTCTTCCTGACAATATATCCGAAGTATGGCAGCCGAAGCCTGGCCATTCTGGTGCCTAAGGAACACTCTGGCTGTACTTCTTCCAACACAAATCTGTTTGTTCTTTTGGCAGCCCATGGTACTTTTAATATTCTCCTCCAACACCATAATTCAAATGTATCAATTCTAATACCATCTTCCTTATTCACTATCCAACTTCCGCATGCATATGAGTTTATTGAAATTGCCATGGCTTGAGTCAGGTGCATCTTAGTCCTCAAGCTGACATCTTTGCTCTTCAACACTTTAAAAGAGGTCTTGTGCAGCAGATTTGCCCAAAGCAATATGTCGTTTGATTTCTTGCCGGCTGCTTCCATGAGTGCTGAGGAGGCTGGGGAAGATAAACTTGGATTTACCTGAGTGGTTGGTACTTCTCAGAGAAGTGTCTGCGGGCGCTGTGCAGAAGGCTTCGTATAGAGCATCATGTAGGAGACCAATAAATACTTCCCTTTTTAAAGTTCCGGACTCCTCAGACGCATGCCTAAAGGGAGATCAGGGGGCATCTCGCTGCTTTGATAGGTTGTGCGCTGCATCATAGAGCCTTTACCAGGAGCCTGTTGGTGAGGACGTGGGCAGGTACTGAGTTTCTCACACAGTGAAGGCAGCCTCACAGTTTAACCAAAGCCCTCTCCTCTACTACTTCTTCCCCAGGTTTCCCTAGCCCAGGGAAGTCCACATTTTTTTGTATATAACAAGAGAGTTTGAACCCTGGAATCGTGGATCTGTGGCCAAGTGGAAGTATGCACCCCACCCAGCCCAGCTGAATTCTCTCTTAGGGGACTGAGTGATGAAACCCAGAACTTCTGGGCCCCTCCAGATTCTAGTTCCCCTAGTGACTTGACTATTCTTGGCCTCAGTAGTCAAAATAGGAATAATAAACCCTATCATGACTATCTCAAAATGGAATTGGAAGATTAAGATCAAGCAAAAAGGTACATGTGTATGTACTTGGTAAATAATTCAAATCTGAAAACCAAAAATCAAATCTACTGTCATGGAATCAATTCTGACTCAAAAGGGATCCCATATCAGGTTTCTGAGACAGCCTTTCATCTTTCTCCGGAGGAGGGGTGTTTCCACCAACCTTGTGATTAGCAGCCCAATGCTTACCCCACAGTACCAACAAGGTTATAGGTAAAAAGATAATAACTGCATCTTCTTGCTCTTCAGAGCATCCGACACCTTTCTGGTCTCAAAGTCAGCTGCTCTGCTTAGTAACTCTTTTAGTAGAAGCCTCTTGCTTGAGTTCCAGGTCAGCTGGGTGAGTTGGACTGGGATGTGTTGAAATGTTTGGGAGATTTACAACCCTTTGCCAAGAGCCACACCTGAGAAATGATAGGAAGTTTTGGATTTTGGTTGCTGTCTGGTTTGCACATCAACAAATCAGTAATGTATTATATAGACTATGCCATAGAAATGGATATGGTGCCTATCATGGGCTTAATTGTGCCCCCAAAATATGTGTCAGTTTTGCTGGGCCATGGTTCTCATTGGCTGTTATGTAATGAGCCAGTCATTTGTAAGAGACTAGGGTGGGATGCAACACCCTTAGTCAGGTCACTGCCCTGATCTCATGTAAGGGGAGTTTCCCTGAGGCACGACCTGCATCACCTTTTATTTTACAAGAAATCAAAGAAGAGAGAAACAGTAGGGAACCACTGCCACCAAGAAAGAAGAGCCTTGAGTAGAATAAATCCTCTGGAGCCAGTACCTCTACGCTGAGGTCCAGGGAGAGACTGAAGTCAAGATGTAGATGTCAAGGAATGCTGGGCCCGCAGGTGTTGAAAAGGGACAAGGACTTTCCCCAGAGCTGACAGAATGTTTTCCCCTAGAGCTGTGACCCTGAATTTGAATTTCTAGCCACATAAACTGAGACAATGAATTTCTGTTTGTGAAAACCATCTACTTGTGGTATTTCTGTTCTAACAGCATAAGTTAACTAAGACAAAGTTTTGAGTTTATATCACTGTATTTATATCCTTGTCTACAAGATTGCCATAGGCTCTGATTGCTGCTTCCCTCAATTACAATCCTTGAGACCTTGAGGTAGTTGGTTCAGTCAGGTTTGAGCACATTCCTGCCCAATTTGACTGCCCTCGTAAGGAGTTTCCAAGACAGTTAACTCTGGAGCCACTTTTACTCTGGTCATTTAGAATTTTTATTTCTCCAGGAAAGTTGGTCTTGCTCATGGTCTAACTCTTTCTCTTCTCTAGTGTAGAGTTCTGTGTGCCAGCAGATCTGTCCTTGGTGATTTTGGAGTTGGGGAGTGTGGGTGGAGATGACGAACAGGAGGCAAATTGGAGGAGTTGAGTGATAAATGGATCGGGCTTATGGGAAGGGGCAGAAGGGAAGACTGAAGAAATTCAAGAAGGGTGATACATGAAACAACAGTATGCCACCATGCTGGTAACTGATTTATTACTTCTCAGCTCCTTTCTGCTCTGTGAAAGCATGTCTGGGCCCTTAAAATATTTTTTTGTTAGCTGACATATTTTTGGTCAATTGATGGCTGTGGGGACATTGCAGTAAGGAAAAATTTTGTTTCCTGGTTGTAGTGAGTCTTATCACTATGCAATTGGATCCCTCAACTTCCAGGGTCTGCAGCTTAAACAGCTCTCTAGTGCCAGTGTCTGAGATGCACAGTGGCCAGCAGATTCCCTGCCATACCTCTCAGAAGATTTTGTCTTGGAGTGACTTCAGAAAATATCTTCCCATAAATAGTGTTCTTTGGCACCCTGTTATTGTTAAGTGCCATCAAGTTGGTTCTGACTCATAGCAACCCTGTATAGGGTTTCTGAGGAGTGGCCGTGGGCTTGAACCGCTAACCTTGTGGGTCAAAACAACCTTGTGGTGTGCTTATCCTACAGGTAAATTTCTAGCAAGTTTCAGAGGATGAATTTCCAGCAAGTTCTACCAGAGTGGCACCTCAGGGACTTCTGGGCCCTCTCCCAAAAGTTTTGTTTATTGACCCTAGTGAAAATGAAGGCTTTTTCTTGAATGCTGTATCTCAGCCCAAGAGGTTGGGACTGCTTTTCCTGTAGTCGTTAGATTTCTCTTTACTTTTTACTATCTAATCATTTGTTTCTCTAATGTCATGTTACAGTTGATAATACTTTAAAACGTTCTTTGTTCAAATTAATGTGCTGGTTCTGTGTCCTGATAGGACCTAGACTAACACTATATAGTCAACAGAAATACTAATATTCAGCATTCAATAAAATAGAATATCTGAACTTTCAAAGTCACTACTGCAACTCTCCATTGCAAACATATTCCTTAAAGCCCACCAGTGCTCCACGGGA